GCACAATTTAATTTCGTTCAAGATGTCCAACTACTTGGAGTGAAATTAGGTGTCGCTCAAAACAGATTATGACGGGATGAGGAAAAAAGCTGTAAACTAAACGCTTGAGTAAGCTTGAAACCGATGCGGGACATTGCAAACTCATTGTTTATGCATCCAGCAAGTTTTGAAATCCACTTGAGAACGTTTTGGACTGGATCATGCTTTCATTTGACGTTCGTCAGCGAAGACTAATGAAATCACAAGAACTATGATAGTACTGATACCAGGAATATTTAATACTCCCATTTAATCGATACATCAGGTTTTACAGGTTGTGGTCAGGAATGAGATGGGCGGTCGATCGAAAGCTACCAGACAATTCATGGGAAAGCGAGATGACAGTTTCGGGTTTTGAAATAATAAAACAATTGTTTTACTTCTTCGCTGCATGTTTATGGAAGAATGTTTTCTTCAGTTTTAGCGTACTCCTGGTTTCATTTTGTTATTTTCCTGAATCTCTGTTTTCACCTAAAAATTTTATTTGCGGACATAACAGTCTCATTTTGTTTTGCGTGGGAAAACGTTTGCTAAGGTTGTCTTCAACTAAAGGTTCCTTGTGAAGGTGAAATCGGTTGTATCGATTTTAAATGACCGTCTATCAAACTTCCATTTCATACACAATTCAGTTTGATTTAAACTCAGAATGTCCTAGGTTCTAGTTTTATGTAAAGCTGAGCTCTTTACTGGCGCTTATGTATCAGTACACGCCGTAGCTGAATCTCTAGCAGCTTGCATGAAAGGCTTGCTCGGTACCGCTACACTAACTACATCAAACCGGGCTAATCGGAAAGAAAACAGAACACTTCTGTTTAGTGAGACTCATTTAGTTGTTACCCCATCGTGTTAGGGGGGAGACGAGACATGTTATCTGTTAACTTATCTGCAAACGGAAGAGTGTGACTGAAGGTCAAACCTAAGGAGCAGTCATTTGATATCAATGTTTCATAATGCACTGAAGGAGCTTTGCGTTTCCTGAGCAATCTCTGCAAAAAACCCAAAACTAAAACTGCACAAATGTATTCACCACAACGACAATGCATCGATCGACAATAAATTCTTGAACAGAATGCTCTCGGACAAACTCCACAAGCCTCTTTCTGATGTGTTCTACCGTTTGATTGCAACGCAGACGTTGAACAATGAATCGAATCTCATCAGCATGTGATAAACAAGGACAATGGGTAGGTGTCTAGTAACTGTGAAAATTGTGCAGTGTAATGAATATGTGTTGGTCTCTTTGATCCAGAGTACTGATATCTTGGTCCCGATTGGCATCGTTTAATGAACATAATGTTATACATTCATTTTGATAAATCAAAATACAGTTACTATTTTAATGAGATGTCAACAGAGATGTGTAAATGATTATTACCAGCAGTCCATACGTTAGTCAAAATTGATAGACATACTGTGTTCGTATAGAAAAAGTCTCTTAGATTCTTCCTAGCAGCATACCCATTTTTAGTCACTCATTGGCATTTAGCAAAAAATATTTCCAAGTAAAACCGTTTTACTTCCTCAAATGACCATAAAGCGCAGATCACATCGGTTTAACGGTAAAAGTCACAAACAATTAACCAGTATCTTTATTAGCTGTTTTTTAATCACGATCACAATCATTATCTGGCAAACACTACTGGTACTGGGTAACCGCCCGCTCGGTTACCACTGCATCGTCTTCATTGTTCATACATTTGACACGTTTCAGGATACCCTCCCTTTGATTGCTCACTCAACTTGCGCAAATAAAACGATTGACTTTACCCTAATAATTGTTTTTTCTACCCAAAGTTATTCCGCCAACTATATTGAAAAATTACAGATTTAACAATTTGCTCATAACACGATCCTAGTCAGTATGGTCAAGTTTTACAAGACATTAAACGTCCTCCCCGTTCATGTATTTTTGTATGTTTTTTTAAAATTTAGGTTCTTCATTTGAATCTCGACCGAACTCTAACTCATTTCACCCCTAGCACCTGTCTGCCGACCGTCACGGCATGTGCACACATACAACTGTGCTCCTCATAACTGTCCTCAATTATTTTAATTTGGCTTCCCGACGTCATTTGCACAATAGTGTAATAATACACACGTCAAATGCCGGGGCGACGGATCTCATGGGAACGTTCGATGCTCAGAGTCCCCTAAAAGTAACTATGGATCAAATTCCACCAATAATGTTTTCTATCGTTCTGGAAAGAAATGATCCAATGCGAATTCTGTCTGGATTGATTCAGGGCGTTGTGCTTGAGGTAGAGAAATGTCATCTCAATTGGACTTCTACAATATCCAAAATGGATGGGAACTGTTGCTGCGCTGATTGCAAGTAAATTTTCAAACGTCCTGCACGGTGTGTATACGACTGATCTGGTTACTGGAACAGGTACCACTCTTGTTGACGCGTTTGTTTCACTTTCTATTGAAATATTTTCTATCACAGTCTGTTGGTGATTAGTTAATTTGTGAACAATTGTAAAATTTCTTGATAAGTACTATTAATAATAAGAAATCCCATTTAGATCAAATTTCTTCATTTCGTCTCGCATAGTCATCTTTGTGAAAACAATGTTCAATGTACTGAATTATAACAAAAGGGAACTGAGATAATACATCTGATTTTTTCCTGAAAAAACTTCTGCCATTTTTACAAACAACATCACTAAAACACTCCAAACTAAAATATTCTGGTTTCCTAGGCAGCATGTTTGAAATGGAGCCATTGTTTGCGGCAGCTTCTCAGGATTATCTTGCGCACATTGTCTCTCGCAGAATAGCAAATAGATATAGATATGTTGCTATGGTTTTCACTCCGAGACGAAAAGATGCCATTACTACAGAGGTTGGTGATTAGTGAAGTCGCGCACTGTCACCCGATTACTTCGAATTTGGTTATCTGTGACTGTGCTGAAACAGGTGCGTCCCGGTGCAAACCGCAACAGGTTTGCACAGCTGTTTCAAACCTCTATGCAAGTGGGATGGTATAGTAAGTATTGATAATTGATGCCTGACTGTCTGTCTGCTTATTATTCATTTGATATAAAGAAGTAGGTGGGTCTTTTCTCACGGGCACTTCTCTTAGACAAATGCACAATATGATCAGTGCATAGGAAGGCGACTTGGAAGGGCCAATATATTCATTTTTGCAGCTTTGTACCGCTCAAAGTGCGCTGCCTAGCAGATAGACCAAGGAAATTTTGTAGTGAGGACACAGTGGAAGAAGCGGTCCGGTTCTTGCGCAGTCTTTAAACAGAATGGCTATCCAGAACGGTTGGCTAGCAAGATAATTTAGTGCAATGCAGATACTGTGAGGAAGATCAAGGTTAGAAAGAAGTCTGTATACATTACCTTGCCGCTCAAGGGGAATACATCAGCAGCGATAATACAGAGGATACATTTCGATGCTATTAGTAAGACCTACGCAGCAAAATTCAGTGTTGTGTTCACGTCCCAGCCAACTGTGTTTACGACTAAAAGACAAAATCCCGGATTCTGTCGTCTCATTTTGTGTGTACTCGTTTACGTATTCTTGTGGAACAACGTACATAGGCCGCACGGTCAGGCGTTTGTCCGAACAAATCCGTGAACACCACTGCTAGTTGAAACAAATCACACTGTGAAAGTGACCGAGGCATTCCGTCCCCTGTATCGGGTTCGTGGTCGACTATTAAGACAGGTTCGATGTCCTATGCTGCTCATGGGGGAAGCGGTAGGAATTTAGCTGCACAACCCCATTCAGTGTGCCCAAAAACAATTTGTGCAGGCGCTTAAGCTCCCTAGGCACACTCCACACACACCACATATCCCGAGTGGTTCCAACGAAGGTGCTCATGCTATATTCATCTTATTTATCGTTAGATTATACAGAATAAAATAACTGTTTATTTGTGCCTAACGTTTTGATCATATTCGCCCCGCTCAATTACACCTTAGATTTTCTTCCGCCTGGATGTACGGAGACGGGACCACGGAACATGCATGTTCCCACGCTTTTACCTATTGTATGGGGAATACACTGCTGTCAGCAAAAATGTGCTGCAGTAATGAATCACAGTAAAAGTACATTATAATCTATTGTGTTCAATGTAAGTTTGAAGAATGCTAGTTCAACGTTTGCAATTTACAACAGCTTGGAAGATTACTGCAAGTCGAAGTAGGTAAACTCACATATTAGCTTCAACTTGTGTGATTTCTTTTTCAATTCAAGTCAAGTTATAGTGTAATGCATGTCGTTTGATGAAAGTAGAAAAAACATGTGACAAAAATCACGCGACAACTTCAAGCACGAAATTTTCGCCAGAGTTAATCCGTTTGTGTTACTTGAGTAATCATTTCTCTGCAGCGTATTATTTGCACATATAAAATAGAATTGGGAATTACGTGGGCAACTGTCACTAAAGTTAACCTTGAAACGAGTAATATCGATTACTTGAACAGCAACAATTACATTTCCTTTCGAATATCGTTCTCCGAATCTATCACCAATTTCGAGCTTCAAGTAAAAATACAACTACTACTTGGACTCAAATGTACACAATTCGGCAGATGCTTTTATGGTAGAACAAAAAACAGTGGGTTTTTGTAAAACCCATTTTGAAAAGTTATTATCAGGTGGAGAGCAAGCGTAAGATCTGATACTGAGAACAGCAATATATATGACACAAAAGAAAGTAAAGTATTTTTACTTCAACAGATTGCTCATCTCCTTGGTAAGTGATTGTAATGGCTGCTTACCATATGCTTAATAGCGGATACAATTTGAGCCGAAATGGTGCGGGCTAGTTTATCCTCCAACCTCCCATTTCGCTTGAGAAATGAATGCAATTCACCAGCAGGAGCATATTCCATGATCAAATGCCACCGCTGCGGAACTTCATGTACTTCGTATAGTTGAATAATGTTCGGATGATTCAATCGTTCCATGTTCGCTAATTCTTGTGATAGAAGTCGTCGTGTTTTGGCATCAAACTTGGTTCGATCGATAACTTTGATTGCAACTTCCGCTGAAAAACAAGAGGTGAGAGTGCATGGAAACGCCCAAATGTGTAAGCCTGATATACATGTTGGACAATCTATACTGTCGGGGAGCAGTGTAGAACAAAGTTAGTTCAGTTAATCAATTGACAGATAATAATGGGACAAACATACACCTGTGTGTTATTCAAATAGACACAACTGGA